GTATAATTCCCTTAACTGCAGTGATTTGCTCAACAAAACATTGCAAAACAGATTGTAAAATAGGGCATGTAACAACTATTCTGCTTAGCAACACAAATCCTGATCCCAATAGTGGTTATAAGTCAATGACTACCTGTAATAGATGCAGTTGACATTTAAGAAGATCCTGAAGACTTTAACAAGCAGGCAGAAGTTTTTGTTTCTGTTTTCCTGGATTTTAGAAATATCCATTGTCTTTTGGAAGATATTTTAAGCCTATTTGGGGCATATTCATATATTCCCTAATTCAAAATGGCAGAAAATGACTGTGCTAGTTTTCAGCTGTTTTGGTCACAGTGAACTCTGGAACTAGAAAGATGTAATGGCAGGTTGTGTAGTCTTGTCTACTTACAGTTTTATATGTATACTGCATATGTCAGTGGTATTGTGATGGAATGTGCACCTGCAGCAGCAAAGGGTGAGAATTTTGACAACTCAGAACTTTCCCAAAAGACGACTTGGGTCAATAGTCTGCACAGTCCTGAGCTGGGAAACTGGGGTGGATGGGTGGGTGGGAGAGGTTTAGGATAACCATTCCCTACAATACCTTAGGGTCTATATAGTAGCTTAGATATGGCTTTAATTTGGCAAGTTTCTATTAGATGTAAGTAAATAATGTATTGGACTTGATAGAATCTCACTGTCTCATATGTGGGCCTGAGCTTGACAGATACAAATAGTCCTTGACTAAGACTGGTCACTCCTCAATGATTTGAAATTATGATGGACCTTCCTGAAGTTCGAATGAGCAGCACGAAGCCGAGTCCTTGTCCCGATAAAGCCCTTTTATTTAATTTACACTCTCTGGCAAAGTCCCGTCCCACAGTCTTTAGAATGATTCTTCCATCTGATGATATGCAAAATGATTTAGGACAAGCCAATGTTTGTCTCCTGTATTGCTAAATTTCCATTTAACTATGTAAAAATGAACTTTTAGAGATTAATAATAGAGGTACATATTTAACTATATTACCAAATATGAATTTAATAGCATTAATAAACTATTATAACACTGTTCTGTTTTACAGATGAAATAATTGGAAGGTTTATCAGATCTTTGCGGCAACAAGGAATTCCATTTTTAGCCATTTATACAGCAAAGCAACCATCAAAGGTCAGTACTTCTCAAAATCCTGAAATATATAATGCCATGCTGCAATTTAATTCCTTTGATTTGTTGATATCCAATCAGGATTGTGCCAAAATAACTGCAGTTAATCCCGGTGATTCCTGTGGAAGGAGAATTTTAAAAACCAAGATGGTGGTCATGATCATGTGATCACACACACCCCCTTTATCCATTGTCAATCATGTGACAAATGTAAGAAAGGGACAGAGACCTCAAATCCTGAAGAAGTTTCTGATTACTTTAAATGAAGACTGGGTGACACAATGAAATCACTATATATATATACTAAACCATGCCTCCATCAGTGAAATCACTATATATCACTGATGGGGACATGGTTTAGTGAATTACTTTTTGCTGTAATGTACTTGTTTTTCACATTCCACAAGAGAACTGTGATTAAAATGGTATTGATTTAAAACAAAGGTTTAAAACTTCAGCATTTTATTGCTTAAAAATATTGCCCCTCTTGTTAACAACCTGGAATGTGATGAACTCTCTATATGTACCAGATTTCAAATCAATCTCATTAAAATGGCAACAGGTACAGCAAGTTCCGATTAGAGCATATAATATACTTCTGTCCAATAAAAACTATTAAAGTGTTTTATTAGGGGTTACTGTTGATGAAATCCTAAATTGTGCTTCTGAAGTTATTATTTCTCCCTGATTAAAGCTTGCAGCAGTTTCATTCTAGGAGTAAAATATTGTTCTCTGAAGAACAATATTCTAGAGGGCTTTATGTGTAATATCTTCTGTTACAGTTTAGGAATCTGTCCTAATGAATATTATGTTAATGATAGCATAAATGAATGTTATGCCTGTGATAAAATGTGCAGTTGTGCCTCTTCTTTTTAGTTCGCCACCATTTATAGTAAAGAGTTGAACAATATTGGCAATGAATCAAAAGAGGTCAAGACAGGGGTTGTGTACAGAGGGGGTGAGGCAAAGACAAGTAATGAAATACCCATTGTGACATTGTGATACAAACGTATGTCGTTTATATGTTTACATGCTATTAATATAAGTAGAAAAAGACAGTGATTGCATTGCAATGCAATAATGCACATTTTGGCATCAGCACATGTAGGAAGAGATGCCTAAGGGGATGGTGGTTGCCTTGTGGACAACTGAACCCCAAGAGAGTGACATTCGTGGATGATGATGGTGCTGTTCCTGCCTAAAAATAACTTGTGCAGACAAAGCTTTGGGTACCACAACAAGTCCGCTCTTTCAAACATAGAAATACTGACTATTCTGTCTCTTTAATTGATTATTAATGTTGGGATAAAAGGATTGGTTTTGAGCTAATTCAGGGGTATCAAATTCGTATTGTCATGGCGGCATCACGTGATGTATCAGGATTTTCTCCCCTTCGCTAAACTGGACATGGATGTGGCCAGCACGTGATGCATCCGGGCCGCCAGCTGTGAGTTTGACAGCCCTGAGCTAAATGGTCAGACTTGGGGCCCAGAGTTTCCTTTCCGTCAATTTCCTTTCTGTTAGTTATTCCCAGTTGTAGAGAGTAAATAACAAAACAAATGGTAGAAAGAAAAGGTAGAAACACTTCTTCATGTTTGTGTGTGTATCTGTGTGTGTGTAAGAGAGAGAGACACAGAGAGAGACAGAGAGAGGGATCTCAAGTTAATTTTTGACTCCTAGAAATTGCCTGTACAAGTCCTTGCAGTTTTCTTGGAAATATTGTTCAGAAGATTGTCTCTTCCTAGGACTGAGAAAGAGTACCAAGTCCAAGGTCACCCAACTGGCTTTGTTCCTAAGGTGAGACTAGAACTGGTCTCCCAGTTTCTAGCTTAAGCACTATACCAAATTAGCTCTCTTTATTTATGGGTCAGTTGATCAAATGGATGCTTGTTGTTTAATATATGCAGTTCATTTTGATTCCTGTTGTGGAATTATTCCTTAGATATTCTATATAGGGGCCTGAAAAAAGCTAGATGAACATTATATGTTGGATACAGAGATAAACAACTGTGTTTCTTTAAAGCCACCTATTAGCTGCCATGTATTCCTATTGATTAGTTTGAATCATATAATTTAAATGGAAGTGGCATTGTATTAAATGTCCATACACCCAGTGGTGGGATTCATTTTTTTTTTTGCTACAGGCTCTGTGGGCATAGCATGGTGGGCGTGGCAGGGGAAGGTTACTGTAAAATCCCCATTTCTTCCCTATCAGCTGGGATTCGGGAGACAGAGAATAGATGGGGGCAGAGGCAGTCAGAGGTGTTATTTACTGGTTCTCCAAACTACTCAAAATTTTCACTACTGGTTCTCCAGAAGTGGTCAGAACCTGCTGAATACCACTTCCGCATATACCTATGTAGTAGTATCTCTGACTCATTTACATACAGGCTACCTTTTATTGGAAACTCATGAAACTGTAAAGAAAGGAGAAGAAACTATCATATACATCAATCTCACAGAAATTGAAGCAGGTGCCACATTGCCTTTATTCACAGGGTCAATGAGATTGTGATGTTTGTCATTTCCTATCACACCAACCTCTCATTTAGGATTGTCTGATATTTTTTAAAATAACTGTTTGTGTTTGCCCAAAATGAACCAAGCTTGCTCAAGATACAAGTTCCTAGTCCCACATTGTATCCACCTGAAGGCTGAGAGAAGCACATTCGTACCTGTTCATTTTGAAGCAGTGCCAGAAAGTTCACTGTTGTCTTTGCTCAACCATTCAATCCTTCACTTTAATTGCTATTCATCCCTTCCTTTAAACATTAACATTTGCATTTTCCCCTTGCAAAGCTTAACTAGGTTTGGAACCTTTTGAAAGGGCTATCCTCATGCTTCCTCAGTATATTGCTGATTGAATACTTTTATCCTGTTCAGGGTGCTGAAAATCAGCATGTCTGATCAGGCATGAATTATGGGTAAAAAGAACTACTGCCAGTTCACTGAAGAAATAGAGGAAGAGCCAGTGGAGAACTCACCAAATCTTTGTGGAAGCTGACATACCAACATTCCCTGTTATTACACTTAATTTTTGTGCTTCCATCAGTGATTTTTCTGCTTCACACACACATCACACAAGGCCACAGTGGGAAAAACCAGAGATGGAACATTTGGCCTAATATGTGGTGCAGAAATATCATTTCTGCAGCCACTTGTGAGTTCTAGCTCCAGGTCTGGAAGAAAGGACTTTAGTTTAACCATATTTTCCAAGGGCAGAAGATAGGATGGAGGGGGCCACTCCCAATAACTAACTTTTAATATAAGGCATGGGAAAAGAGCATTTCTTCCAATGTAGAAATGACTGTGTTTCCAGGTTCATATTGGATATGCCAATAAACTGGCTAAATGTGTTCTATAGGGGTTGTCCACAGGTATGGTTAAACTAAAGTCCTTTCTTCCAGACCTGGAGCTAGAACTCACAAGTGGCTGCAGAAATGATATTAGGCCAACTGTCCCATCTCTGGTTTTTCCCACTGTGGCCTTGTGTGATGTGTGTGTGAAGCAGAAAAATCACTGATGGAAGCACAAAAATTAAGTGTAATAACAGGGAATGTTGGTATGTCAGCTTCCACAAAG